GTATGTATGTTTGTTTGTATGTATGCATGTATGTATGTATGTATGTATGTATGTATGTGTGTAACGTAATGTACTGCAATGTATGCACTGTAATGTATGAAATGCATATGTATGTATGGATGTGTATGTACATGTATATGTATATGTGCGTGGTGGTTGAGTGTAGTTGATCTAAAAACCCTTGGTCCATAACTTATACGGAAGGCCACCAGCACAGCTGAATATGCCTTCATGACAGTTCCACGATGGTCCCGCTAAAGTTGGTTATTTTGTTTGCGAAAAGTATCTGTTTGGCTTATACTTGCCGACTATTTCTATTACTAGTTGTATCACGATTACTATGTTTGTTACTGTACCAGTACTAGTACTATGACTTTGACTATTACTACTACAGTACTATTACTGTCGCTTTTGCTAATACTGTGGTGAATGCTGTTTTTACCGATACGATTATCATTGGTTTTTCTAATATTACGATTCTCACTAGTATTTCTGTTACACTTCTGATTACTATGATTACCAGTATCCTTCTTATCAGTCTTACCAAAAGTTTTCATATTATTGTTACTACTGTTGTTGCTAATATTGCTATTTTGTTATTATTCTTCTTATTACTATTACGATTATTATTATTGTTAGTATTATTTATTATTATTGTTATTATTACTCATATTACCACTTCTCATGCTCTTGCTACTGCAACTGGTGGTGCTGTTACTACTGCTCCTACTATTGCTATACTACTGCTGCTACTGCTACTGCTGCTACAACTACCTGCCATACCTACTTCCCACAAGCTTATGCGACCTACCGCCGACGGCTACTACCTCCCACCTCCGATGCAGAAGAAATGTCTTCGAAGAGCTAGCAGACTCGGAAGATTCAACATTCGGTCGTTTCGGCCAAGGTATCTACCGCGCCAACTTCGAGGAGAAGTCGGAGCTAGAAGACCGACTTCCGTACACGTGCGCGCACGTGCGTCGACCTTGGTTCGCCTTATAACTTTCCTGGCAGAGCGTGATGCTTGAAAGGAAGAAAAGGTCTGAAAGGACAATTTGCACTTTATTCATAGCTAGCTGACATTATATGCATGTTGCAATCCCAACATTCCTCATTCCGTGTCGCCCTCATGCTGGCCACTTGTACTTTCGACAATGATGTGGCACAGCAATGGCTTGCACATCAAGTTCTGAGCCGCAAGGTTGTTGACAAGACGAGTTCATCAAAACCCTGTAGACAGCTGAAAACCTCAGATAGGAAGGTGCAAAGCAGACGCTGTCCTGTCTCCGAAGGTATATTCAGCTCAAGCTTCTCCAAACCCTGAACCCTACGAGCCAGCCATGTGGGAGCCAAAGCAAAAAAGTCTTATCCCTATTCTCAGCCTGATCAAGCATGTGCAACTCTTAATCTCAACCTCCGAACCGTAGACCCTCAGAGCAGTAGACACAAAACCCGATACTCGTACTGTACCTATAGTCTCCATTGTAGTTCCTTTTTTTGGTTTAACCAAATATATATTAACGAGTTTATAAGGCATCCCCAAAAAGGAACTACAATGGAGACTATAGGTAAGCCTGAAGTTCACGGACCCAACTCAGGCGCGCCAACAACCGCGACTTGTTTCTGGTCGCCTTGACCTCGGGTGCAAAGCTCATGTTTGGTCTAAGCCCATACACCATAAACGCCCTTAACATATGAATACTGAATAATTGCATGTCAGACCTCCGACCAGACAGCCTGAGCCCTCGGATTTTGAATGAAATTCCCTATAAGTCCCTCGTAGTTTGATGACTCTGTCGCCAGAAACCGGCACATGTTGCGTCTCCTGTGCATTCCAGAAAGCCCTAAGAAGGTGTAACTATTGAGCACACACCCACACACACACATATATATATATATATACATATATATATATACATATATATATATATATATATATTTAGATGCATTGAATAAAGATTCATCGCAGCGAGCCCCCTGCCCACATGTGGCATTTCGCAGCACCAACAGCACTGTGGCAGTTGTGTATTGATAGCACTGTCACTTGTTTCTAGTACGAGGGTCGCGAAAAGATGATCTAACGGACACCTAGCTTCTTTACAGTCCTACCCCAAGCCACGA